ATATCATCCTTTGTAACTATCTTTTGTATTGACAGCTGAATTGATGCCAACGCACACTTTATTTCCTCAATTTCTGAAGAATCTTCTTCCCCTGCAGAGGAAATCCTTCTCTGTTTCGAAGCTGGTTTTGAAGATACAATTTGTGATTTTATCTCTGATGGCACTCTTGTAAGAAAAAGAGTTGATTGCTTAAGCAATGGAACAGAAACTTTCTCATTTTTATGCCCCGCCATGAATATGGCCGGGGCATATAGTGTTTGTCATGTCCGCCTTCCGTCCTTCTGTCCTTCCGTCTGTCCTTCCGTCACACTTTGCATTTAGCTCTCTTCAAAGCTCAGTTTCAAAGAAACTATCCAAGATATTTTTATCAAACTTCATATGCTGATAGATATTGATGAGAGCTATGCAACTGCATCAACATTTTTTGACCTTGACCTTTCCTTTGACCTTGACCTCACTTTTCTTAAATTAGTGTTTAGCTCAGTTTTAAAGATACCATTCAAGATAGTGTAATCAAACTTCATATGTTGATACATACTGATGTATGCTATTCAACTGCATCAACATTTTTTGACCTTGACCTTTCTTTTGACCTTGACCTCACTTTTCTTGAATTAGTGTTTAGCTCAGTTTTAAAGATACCATTCAAGATAGTGTAATCAAACTTCATATGTTGAAACATACTGATGTAAGTTATTCAACTACATCAACATTTTTTGACCTTGACCTTTCTTTTGACCTTGACCTCACTTTTCTTAAATAAGTTTTTAGCTCAGTTTTAAAGATACTATTCAAGATAGTGTTATCAAACTTCATATGCTGATACATACTGATGAGAGCTATTCAACTGCATCAATATTTTTTGACCTTGACCTTTCCTTTGACCTTGACCTCACTTTTCTTAAATAAGTTTTTAGCTCAGTTTTAAAGATACTATTCAAGATAGTGTTACCAAACTTCATTTGCTGATACATACTGATGAGAGCTATTCAACTGCATCAACATTTTTTTTGGACCTTGACCTTTCCTTTGACCTAGACCTCACTTTTCTTAAATTAGTGTCAAACTTTATATGCTGATACATACTGATGAGAGCTATTCAACTGCATCAATATTTTTTGACCTTGACCTTTCTTTTGACCTTGACCTCACTTTTCTTAAATAAGTTTTTAGCTCAGTTTTAAAGATACCATCAAGATAGTGTTATCAAACTTCATATGCTGATACATACTGATGAGAGCTATTCAACTGCATCAACATTTTTTTGACCTTGACCTTTCATTTGACCTTGACCTCACTTTTCTTAAATTTATGTCAAACTTCATATGCTGATACATACTAATGTAAGCTATTCAACTGCATGAATATTTTTTCACCTTGACCTTTCCTTTGACCTTGACCTCACTTTTCTCAATTTGTGTTAAAATGTTGCATTACTAATATACCCTCGGCGGGGCATTCATGTCCTATGGACATATTTCTAGTTTTGCTCTTCTTTTGTGTCCTTGGCCTGTTGATCAGCCATTGTTACACTATACAATGGTTCAGTGAACACTGTCTCTAAACACTGCACACACAAGGGGTTACCTGTTTTTTTTACACTACAACTCCAGGTACATGGAATACATGTGAACACAGCTCAGTGCTTCCATTAACACTTAATACAAAATAATAGTTTTTCACAAAGTCCACTTTTCCAAATTTTCTTATATAAACAAATCCAGCCTTTTTTATGGATCTATACCACACACTATTAAGTATTTTGTCCACCAAAGAAACACTTTAACACTCTAAAAATCCACTTTTTAACAGAGGAGCAAAAAAACACCACCTCACTCTACAAGCATGACCTTGACCTCCACTTTCCGAAGTTTTAAATACGGCGATAAACAGCAAGAAATTGCACAAGTCTCTAGGTAATACTACGGTATGTTCGTTTGATAGCCGTGTTTCACATGAAAGAAAAACCTATCAAAATCCCATTGTGGTGTAAAATACGCACCCCTTTCTCACAGAAAATTATTATGGGAAAAAAGTGCGTATTATATTCAGCCAAATACGGTAATTTGGTTCTCAGGCCAGTTTTCTCAAAAATAAATGCGGAAGGGAGGCTTTTTTTTTCCCTTCTTATCTCGTAAAAAAAAATACAGATGCAGGATTTTGATTTTTTTTTAATTTCAAAACTAGCAAATTTTAATCAACAGTGCTTCAACATTGAATGTAGAAATCAAGATAATTTATTTTCTGCTTCTTTCTCTTTTTTTTCTTGCATCTTCTACATTCCGATGATTCCTGTAATGAAACGACGGCATCCTAAAGACCAGACGTGTTAAACTTAGTTACAGAACCCAACACTTCTAGATAAGCATCTGGTCAATTGCTTACGTAACACAACTAATCTAAGAGTGTTTCAGCACTATAAATAGCGCTTATGATTTTATTAAACGTCAAATTTATCAGTCCTTTGTTTACCCACACTAAATGTGCTGAAGTCCAAGTTCCAAGGTTGAGAGAGCCATCTTTGATAGCGTTATTGATCGAATTCTTACGATGGCCGATAGCGGCCGTCAATTTACACTAACGTTATGTGTGTAACATGTACAGCATTTTCAATGAAAACTCACTGACACATTACACCCAAAAGGAAAAGTGGACAAAGTGTACAGTGTCAAAGCAAATGCCATGTACACTCTACACCAATGTTTTATGTGTAAAATGTCAGTAAAACTTTCATGTACACTCTACACCTAAAGGTGATATCAAGATTCAAAACAGATCCAGTGTTTCTTTATCGTGCTGCTCCCTCAAAGTGCCTCTTGATGTTCACATAAACCTGAAGTAATTTTTATTTATATTTTCGCTATAAGGAAATGGCTGAATAAATGCGTCTGTCCAGTAGAAGATATCAAACAGTTCATATACTTCTGGAAGTGAAAAATCTTGTTTCTAGTAAATATGGATGAAAGGTTATAATACGTTTCAAAATATATAAAGTGAATCATATTCTTTTACTTTGCAGTAATATTTACAATCATTTTCACACAATGTGAAATGAAAACAAGAATTGTTTTATATTGTGTGATAATTATCACTTTCCATTTTTTGACTGGAAAATTTGAATGCTGATGTACCTCTCCTACTGGCAGACTGATCCGTTTTCCAAGCTGTGTCCTAAATAGCATTTTCGATAGTTATTATCATGATCTGATTAAGTACCTGTAATTTAATTGATGACCCTTTTAATCCTTTCATAAAATACTAATTTTGCTCTTTACTGATTATTTACCAAAGAACTTAATTTGCCAGCATTTCCTCAGGCCCCAAAACCATAAAATGAGAATAGACTTAAGTCAAAATTATTGATTTTTTAGTATCTTGATTTTTTTTTTTTAATGTTGTTGCTTAAAAATTTGCAATTTTATATAACATTTAAACTGAAATATATGATGAAAATTTGGTTTCAATATCAAAATTATTTCAAAAGTTATATTGGTTTGAAATTTTGACTTAAATGTATTCGCAGTTTATGGTCTTGGGGCCAGATCTATCTGAACTTCAAGAGGCACCTTGCGGGAGCAACAAAAAGAAACACGTCTGGTTCTGTTTTGAATCTTGATTTCACCTTTAGATGTAGAGTGTACCTGAAAGTTTTTCTGACACTTTACACACATAACTTTGTTGTAGAGTGTACACGGAATTTGCTTTGACACTGTACACTTTGTACACTTTTCCTTTAGGTGTAATGTGTCAGTGAGTTTTCAGTGAAAATGCTATACATGTTACACACATAACGTTAGTGTAAATTGTCGGCCGCTATCGGCCATCGTAAATTCTAGCATGGAAAAACCTTCAGAAACCCCCACTTTGTACCATGGAAGTATTACAGTCATTCCCTTGTGAATTTGCACTGAAATCAACGCGAATGCCATCATGACTAAACAGATCCTGTTAACTTGAAAGCCATATTTGCGATTTTTAACTAGGCCAGTAGTCTGGATCAACTTGATGTTTGTCAACTGTTTTACTGATTTCTAAAATGCAGTCAAAATGCGGGAATTCCAGATTTTTTTTGGCACCACACGAGCGCATGAGAGAAATTTTATTTTATTTATTTGAGGATAAAAATGGGTAATGCGCATTGTTGAATGAGATGCGAGTGGGCCTGAGAACCAAGTTATTAATTTTTTTAGGCCTTAGAACTATTGTAATTCTACCGTATTTTATTGAGTTAATTTTAGCCATTTTTTGTGGATATAAATGTGATTATGTTTTCAGATGAGCTGAGTCTATAGTACAGTTGACTCTTTTGAACTAGTTGTTAATTAAGCACAGCAACTGAAAACGAGAACTTAACATCGTAGGATGATCCTTTTGAATACCCCAGAGAAATCAATTTTCCCCCCTCCAACTATGATTACTTTTCAAAAATTCTTATTCCTGTTTGATACATATATGACACGTGCCAAAAGGATTTCACAGTCTCTAATTTTTTATTTCAGTTAAGACACATGATGTTATTGATGTGTATTACGAAAATGTGTTTTTTTTCATTCCAAGTGAAATTTTATAATTTACAACAAAGAATAAAGCAATTTATTCAACATAGACCTGAAGTTTCTTACAATAAAATTTTTGATAGGCCAATAAATTTCTGTAAAATAAAGATGTGACATATACTGTGCAAGAAAAATACCCAGCTCATGAGTATCACCCATCCCCCTTTCTTTGAAATAAACACAGGGAATTGGCATCTTTGAATGTGTGCTTTCTGCAATCTGAAACAAGTGGATTGATGTAAAAATGATATAGAAATAGAAGTTCAATTTTGTGATTGAGTAATTTTGATTGATTCTGCTGCGACTACCTTGTATAAAAAATTCAAAATATAATTTCAGGCTTATCAAAGTAGCTCAGATGAACTCATTTCCATATACAACTCGAAATGCTCAGGACATTGTTTTGTATGACCTTTAATAAGACTCTTCTGTTTAAAACTTCAGACAGTTTGGAGATAAAGCGCTGGGTGTTTTAGATATTGGGTACATGGACTCCAGTGAACAGACATACAGTATGCTAAGTACCCCTCTCAAAGACTTCAACAACAAGACTTGCATTGAGATTGCTCATGATGCTGGATACATTGGTTTTATTGCACACCCATGTTGCCAGAAGTGGTTGACAAGAAAGCTTTTTGGAGCTATTCAAGTCAAAGAACTTGATCTAGGCTTTATATCACTACCAGACTGGTTTAAGGTAAGCAGATACTGCGTAAATCTTACTGGATATTTTGAAAACAGTCAAAGATCAGTTCTGTTTAATAAGCATGCTAATATGTACTATTTTACTAATGTACATATTCTGAAAGATTTTTTTTTATCTAACCCTATATGTTTACACATTATTAGTGAGAGCTATTCAACTGCATCAACATTTTTTACCTTGACCTTTTATCTAACTTTGACTTCAAATTTGTGTTTAGCTAGATTTCAAAAAAGTATTATAAATGTAAACAGTTATGAACAATAATTCAGAAACCAAGTGCTCGGAGGCCTTGGTTAATTGTCATAAGGGTGAAAAAAAATTTGCAGGCGATAATTTTCTATTATAGGAAGCGGAGTGTACATTTTACCTATGATAATAACTAGAAGAATTTACATTGAATTATGAAGAAATGGTTTTGTGTTTCAAAAATCTTTGATAATAGAAGACGTATCAAATTAAACTGATATCATAATAAACATGCCCTACCTGGATAAAACTTGCATGGATTATGCATTTAGGGATGCATACTACCAGACTTACAATGGATGCTGGATATGGCCTACATTTTCCAGATGAATGAACATGTTAAAGTTTTAGGAATAAGCCTATAGGATGGACACTATGATTTGCTTTAGATGCTGGATCTGACGTACATATTCTGGATGAGTGAACAGGTTAAAGTTTTTGAAGCGTATCCTTTCCTAAGTAACTATATGTGCTTCCTGGTCTAAACTTGCATGGATGATGCATTTAGGGATGCACACTTCCCAACTTGTTTCATATGCTGGATCTGACTTGCATTTCCCATTTATTGAACAGGTTAATGTTATTAAATCAGGTACCTTCCCAAGTAACTATAAACCTTACCTGGACCAAGCTTATATGGATGATACATCTAGGGATGCACACCAGATTTGCTTTGGATGTTGAACTGACGTACTTTTTCAGATTGTGACTATTAGCCTTACTAGGACTAATCTAGCATGAATAATGCATCTAAGGATGGAAAGAATAAGGCTTGATTCTGTAGCTGGATCTGACCTACATTTTCCGAATGAGTCACCAGGTTAAAGCTTTTGGAGTAGGTCCATTACCGAGTAACTATAAACTCTACCTGGTCCAAACTTCCATGGATGATACACACTACTGATTTGATTTGGATGCTCGATCTGACCTAGATGAATGACAAGGTTAAAGTTTTTGGAGCAGGTACATTCCTAAGTAACTATAAGCCGTATCTGGACCAATGCATGAATTATACATTTAAGTATGGACACTACTAGACTTGCTTTGGATGCTGGATCTGATAAATGAATTTGTTAAAGTTTTTGGAGCAGGTTCAGAGGTGAGCTTCTCTGTTTAAATTCTGTAAACAAGGTTATTTTCATCCCATTTTATTTTGCCCTGTCACATTTGCAGTCAAATTTGCCATGATTTAAATTCCCCCAGACACATCTGTGTCAAAGAGGTTAATGCTGTCATCTCTGAATTGCCCTGTTTTAAATTTGCCCACTTGGGACGAGGGAGAGAGGGGTGAAAATCAAACAGGGAAGAAAATATCCCAGTATTGATATTTTTTTTGGTCACTTGCCAAAAAGGAAAAAAGTGCTAATCAAAAATTCATTTGCCCTCCCTTAAATTCACTTGCCTCCTGGTCAGGTAATTTGGATTTGTCATCACTTGAGGTAAATCTCATGACATGCCACTAAGGAAATCAAATTTGTGTCATAACAAACTTGTTTTTAGCTCACCTCAACGAAGTTGGGGAGCTTGTGTAATAGCCTTGGCATCGGCATCCCAGGTTAAAGTTTTTGGTGCAGTTTTCTGTTCAAGTACTTTTGTGCCCTACAGTAATCAGAGATGCTTTGGGATGCTTCTAGTATGTTTAATTGTACCAGTCAAGGTTTCATATGCTGCAATTTCAGCTGAAGAATGACCAGGTTAATGTTTTTGGAGCAGGTTAAAGTCTCATTTCCAAGTTACGATAAGCCCTATATTGGATGATACATCTAAGGATGCACACTACTGGACTTGCTTTGGATGCTGGATCTGACTTACATTTTCCAGATGAGTGACCAGGCTAGTTTTTAGAGCAGGTCTCATTTCCAAGTAACTTAAAGCCCTATATTCACCAAACTTGCATGGATGATACATCTAAGGATGCACACTACTGGACTTGCTTAGGATGCTGGATCTGATCTACATTTTCCGGATGAGTGACAAGATTAAAGTTTTTAGAGCAGGTCTCATTTCCAAGTAACTATAAGACCTCTATTGACCAAACTTGCATGGATGATACATCTAAGGATGCATACTACTGGACTTGCTTCGGATGCTGGATCTGACCTACATTTTTAGCTAAGTCCATTCCCAAGTAACTGCAAGCCCTATCAGACCAAAACTGCATTAATGTTACATCTAGGGATGCACACTACTAGATTATTAGTTTGGGACTTTGCCTTACTTACCGACAACATTCGTTGAGGTGAGCTCTGTAGTCTCTGATTACCTATGTTTGTTGTAGATTCTTGCAAGTGTTTTCTTCATCTTTCCTATTTACGTCTGGATTGGATTTGTTCCTAAGGCAATAAGATGGAAAAAGAAAAGAGGAATTACATTCAAAGGGGATGCTGGTAAGTGAAAACAAGTGTATTTGTCATCTTTTGTTTGTAAGGGGGGGGGGGGGGGTATGGGGGGTATATTGGAATTAGCATGTCAATCTGCCTGTCTGTAGACATGTAAAATCATCCAACTTGGTCAGTAAATGCAAAGTTGGTAGAAGATGTTTGGCACCCACCTTAAGGTCACTGTGACTTTTAAGTAAAATTGATGACAATGATATGGTCAAATATGTCAAAACCCTTTTTTTGATTCATGTATATTTGAGACCTAGAATCAAAAAACTTTTTTAGTTGGTGTATTTGCAGAGAAATAAAAATTGAATTGCAGCTGAAAACCAGGTCATGAAAACTTTTAAAGAAATGACCAAGTGTTTAAAGAATACACACACACATTTTAAAGGAGGTAATTCCTACAAATTTAATTTTGTAAAAAATGTATCAAGATGTCATAAATGTACATTTATATTTTACTGCAAAAACTTAACTGTCCATCACACAGCAGATATTGTAATTCCATTTGTCCTGTGGGTGAATTGATCTGAAGGATGCAAAGAGAAATTTGATGATAGCCAAATTATAACTGTCCAGTTGAGGGTTAATTAATGAGTTCAAAGGAAGAAGGCTGTCTTAATCATTTCTTTTAGAATATCTCTGATCAATCATTTTATCCATATCTTCTAGGAAATTTCCATAAGATTTGAAGATCTGGTCTCTTTTAAAATTTCAATTTTCAATTGATAACATTTGTCAAATTAAAATACATATTAATGAGGCTCCACTGCATGCGTATAGGTAAAAAAATATTTAAAAGCTCTCCTTCTCAAGTATACAGGGCTACAAATTGTCAAATTATTTGCAGTCATAATCGTGGAGTGTAGAATCAAGTTCTAGTTGGGGAGAATGGATCACTGTTCTAGTTGGGGAGAATGGGTCACTGTTGTGTATACTATCAGAAATGAGGAGTCGAGTCTGTGTCTATTTTAAAATTATATTTACTGCTGACGAAGATTCCTAATTTCTTTACAACATGACATGATGACGACAATTCCCAGAAAGAATCAAAGTACACTTTTACAAACAATACACATATGCTGTAAACTGTAAAAAATTGCACTGCTTTTGAAGTATTTATATAAAATAATAAAATAAAATGATACAGAATGTAACAAACACTCAACTAACTTGCATATATTGCATAAATTAATTATGTAATCAACTGAAAAACAATAGATAAATGATTTTGATTTTTTACCTAAATGGTCTCTCTTCTAGACAACACTTAAATTTTGTAAAACATAAAATAAACATTAAATTTGAACTTGTCTACATTGTTACCCATTGACAAAGTATAGATATATAAATATGGGTTCTCAAGCCTTATAGTAGAAAAGAGAAATACATTATGCGATTAGAAAAAAGAAATTGCTAATGGGCCTCTTTTTGTTGTTTTATTTGTCTTAATTTAATAAAATTTGATAAACAGGTAGACCACGTCAAGGTAAACAATTCTATTTGATTAATGATTTAATAACTATCATTTTTTATTTTGATAAATTGTAATGTTGTGCTTACTAAAAATGGAATAACCAATAAAAATCTTTCAAGATGCTATAACTGTTACAGATTTAGAACTGATTTCAGTAAAATTTAGTACATACTACATCAAGATTAGGGGATGTCTAAATCATTTTGAAAGCTTGATTAACTAATCAGGGGTTTTTATCTGGCAAAAGTGGATTGATCAATGCAAAATCATAGTACATCTTCACACCACATGTTATAGAAACGATGTTTATAAAATCATGTTTTTAGTTCATCCATATTACAGGGTTTTAAGCTCTACTGGTCAAAGACCAGAAGAGCTTATGCAGCAGTAAGGTGTCTATTGTCTGTCAGTCTGCTTGTAAACAAATTGTAGCTCTTCTGAGCCAAAAGCTTAAAAGGCTAATGATATGACCATTTTGCATCAACTTTTTGGAATATGTGCCAAAGCTCAACAACCCCTTGGCCAGTTTTTGTCAATTTGACACAGAGTATCCTAAGCCCAAGGGCTCTTATACTAAAAATAGGGATGTGACCCTGAAACAAGGGGAGATAATTAGGGAAATAAAAACAAAAGTAGTGGTTTCTAAAAAAAAAAAACTTCTCAGGAACCACTGGGCAGGTTTTATCGATCTGTACAGTTAAGCACTGAATTGACTTGGAATTGCCTAACTACCCACCAAAAAAAAAATAAAAATACATTTGGATTGTTCCAGTAAAAGTTGTGGAGAATCAGACATCAGTAATGTATTCATATTGTTTAACAGGAATTTTTATTGGTCCATTCAGCCACAAATATTATTAGTCCAAATGAAAATGTATTAGACTGAGACTAAGGGACTAATATATATGTTGAACCTTGATTGGTGACATGTGTCTTTAAATTCATACTTAAATTCTTAGTATATTTAACATTTACTATGGTTTAGCAAACATTATACAGCAAGTAATGCTAAGAATATAAATCCCACTTTATGTATTGAACGTTTTAACCAGTAGAGCTACAGTGTCATCAGAGACTTGTGATTCATCAAAGAATTGAGATGTGGATTGAACAGGTTTTTTAATAAAAGTTTTTCATTAATTTATTCACTTTTCACCTTGTTGACATCTGCAGAGGAATGGTGATTTTCTATACTAATAAAAGCAAAGGCTATATTGCTTGAATTAAGCCACCATCACAGTGATGTGAATTGATATCTGACACATTGTCATATACATTTCTCTGAAACTATTGTTTCACAAGATGCTAACCTAACCCAATACTTTATAGACTGCTTAAAGAAGATTTTCAAAATTTATACAGAAATATTTCTCATCATTTTATTAGAAGGTTCTTGTGTGAATGTGCAGGGAATCTGTTGATATTAAAAAAAAAAAAAATAAAAATGAAGACCCTTGACTAGAGGCTTTTTTCTCAAAAAGGCTAAGTACTTTGCTAATGATAATTATATAAAATTTTTTAGTATTTATTGTGATGAAATGTAAAAATTAAAGCTTCAAAATACTTTGGAACTGAATTTATAGGTGAATTTAATGTGAGTTCATTACACATAAGTAATTCTGGGTCCTTTCATTGTAATGGACAGGTTAAGGCCGCCCAAAGATTTTGCAGAAATGCTATATTTTTTCTTTTTCTCTGTAATTCTGTCCATCCACATTTTTGATATAAAATAATATTTTATTTGATTATCCGATTAGGTCAACTGAGCCATAGGTTTGTAAGATTTTTTTTGTGGAATTTTGTCATCCATGAACTGTAGGGCTGTCACGAGTACCCGAAATAACCGAGGACCGCGGTCCAAGTTGTTCGGTTCGGTTCCGGTTCCATTTTTCCGGATTTCGGTTCGGGTCTGGTTTATATATTATAGTCTGTTCAATACAAAATGGCGTCGAAATCAAAGGAATGATGACGATAACAGTGATAAATAAACGTCACAACTGAAATTTACTTCATTCCATGACAAAACACTTGTCAGGGAAGTGTTAGATAATTATCAAAACGAGCAGGAATGGTCAGGTTGTGACTAATAGTAGGCCAAGTCACCGATGTCTAGACGTTTTCAATGTAAATTTAATGTAACAAATAAAGATTTTTCAAGTTAAATTCATGAAATTAAGGTTTAAAATAGATGTAAATACCCAACCCGAAAAACCCGAAACTGAACTGAAAATTTACAGACCCGACCCGATTCGAAAAAATTTTGGAACCATGACAGCCCTAATGAACTGTCTGTTAACTTTTTAGCTCACCTGAGCCAAAGGCTCAAGTGAGCTTTTCTGATCAAAATTTGTCCGTTGTCTGTTCTTCCAAGGGGAGATAATTAAGAATTCGTGAAAAATTAATGGCATCATTAAAAAATCTTCTTCTCAAGAACCACTGTGCTTGAAAATATGAAACTTATGTGGAAGCATCCTCAGGTAGTGTAGATTCAAGTTTGTTCAAATCATGACCCCTGGGGGTCGGTTGGGGCCACAATGGGCGATCAAAGTTTTACATAGGAATATATAGGAAAAATCTTTAAAAATCTTCTTCTCAAGAACAGCAAAGCCATGATTGGTCATATTTATATGGTAGCATCCTCAGATAGTGTAGATTCAAGTTTGTTCAAATCATGACCCCCGGGGTCAGGTAGGGCCACAATGGGCAATCAAAGTTTTACATAGGAATATATAGGAATAATCTTTAAAAATCTTCTTCTCAAGAACAGCAAAGCCATGATTGGTCATATTTATATGGTAGCATCCTCAGATAGTGTAGATTCAAGTTTGTTCAAATCATGACCCCCGGGGGTCGGGTGGGGCCACAATGGGCAATCAAAGTTTTACATAGGAATATATAGGAAAAATCTTTAAAAATCTTCTTCTCAAGAACAGCAAAGCCATGATTGGTCATATTTATATGGTAGCATCCTCAGATAGTGTAAATTCAAGTTTGTTCAAATCAAGACCCCTGGGGGTTGGGTGGGGCCACAATGGGCGATCAAAATTTTACATAGGAATATATAGGAAAAATCTTTTAAAATCTTCTTCTCAAGAACAGCAAAGCCATGATTGGTCATATTTACATGGAAGCATCCTCAGGTAATGTAGATTCAAGTTTGTTCAAATCATGACCCACGGGGGTCGGGTTGGGCCACAATGGGCGATCAAAGTTTTGCATAGGAATATATAGGAATAAACTTTGAAAATCTTCTTCTCAAGAACAGCAAAGCCAGGATTGGTTATATTTACTGGTAGCATCCTCAGATAGTGTAGATTCAAGTTTGTTCAAATCATGACCCCCGGGGGTCGGATGGGGCCACAATGGGCAATCAAAGTTTTACATGAGAATATATAGGAAAAATCTTTAAAAATCTTCTTCTCAAGAACAGCAAAGCCATGATTGGTCATATTTACATGGAAGCATCCTCAGGTAGTGTAGATTCAAGTTTGTTCAAATCATGACCCCCGGGGGTAGGGTGGGGCCACAATGGGCAATCAAAGTTTTACATAGGAATACATAGGATAAATCTTTTAAAATCTTCTTCTCAAGAACAGCAAAGCCATGATTGATCATATTTAAATGGAAGCATCTTAAGATAATGTAGATTCAAATTTGTTCAATCCTTGACACCCCCCCCCCCTTCCCCCCCCCCGAACCACTTTTTTATTTAAACTTTTCAACCTTTCGAGACTGAACTGTGATTTCTGCTTTTTCCTAGCCATAGTGCTCAGGTGAGCAATGTGGCCCCTGGGCCTCTTGTTTTATTTTTTTTTACTTTGTCTCCAGAACCAAGGGGAGATAATTAAGAAAAAGTGAAAATTTGATGGGTTGTTTAAAAATCTTCTTTTCAAGAACCACTGAGCCCCCCCCCCCCCCCAAAAAAAAAAATTGAGGGTACCTGACATAATGTAGATTCAAGTTTGTTCAAATCATGAGGGCAAGGGGTTCACAGTTTTACATGGAAATACATAGAAAAAAAAATGTTTACAAAATAAGAACAGGAGAGATGAATAAAATTAAGCATCCCAAGTTGTGCAGATTCAATTTGTTCAAATTATGTGTTGATTCAATTAAGGTCATGACATAATCCCTTGGGGCTAGGGTGGGCCACAATATCTGATAAGTATTTCTCATGTGAATTAATATTGAGTTTTTATCTTTGAATCTTGCAATGAAGAACAGGAGGGCCAAGGTGTCTCAGGTGAGCATTGTTGTCTAGGAGCCTCTTGTTCTTTATGTATTTTAACCTCAATACCTTCTCAGGTATCTCAAAGTTTTTTTTTCTTTTCTTTTATCTTTATCAACATATAGTCCTCTCTTTAATCCCACCCTTAGATGCATGTCCCTCAGCGGGGCCCTCACTGAATGGTAATTTTTCTAGTTGCCTCTGGGATGATCGATTGACATTGTATTAAATGGGAAAAGTCTTATAAAAATCTTCTTTTTAATCATGAGGAGGTCACTCAGGTAAGCATTGTAGCCTATAAGCTTATTGTTGATAGTCTAAATTTGAACCTTTCTTTACTTGGAAGATTCCAGAATTCTTGACGATGCTGAATCCGAGTCTGAGGACGAAGACGATGAAAATCTGCCAACATCTAAATCTCTACTACAGAATGAACTGGAGACAGTAAGGTTTTTAGGTCATCTGAGTCACTCAGGTGACCTATTGCTATCTGTTTTCGTCCGTCGTCGTCCGTTGTGCATCGTGTGTTAACATTTGAACATTTTCAGCTTCTCTGAAACCGCTGAACCAATTTCAGCCAATTTTAGCATATGGCATCTATGTGTGAAGGGGAACAAAATTTTTGAATTTCATGGTCCCTGCCCCCCTGGGGCCTGAGGGGTGGGGCTAAAACCACCAAAATTAATGCAATCTTTAAAAATCTTCTTCTTTACTCCTGGACATCAAGCAGTCAAACTGTTGGCATGATTGTAATAAGCATTGAGCCCTCTACCAAAATTGTGAAATTCATGGCCCCAGGGTCAGGGGTTCTGGTGCTAGGGCGGGACTATATAGATCATATAGTGAAAGTGCATTATTTCTTTCAAAATCTTCTTCTCTACTCCTGGGTATTATTGAAACAAATTGAATACATAGTCATGATAAGTAAGGGTGACTCTACCAAAATTGTGAAATTCATGGCCCCAGGGTCAGGGGTTCTGGTGCTGGGGGGGAGGGGGAGGGCTATATAGATCATATAGTCAAAGTGCATTATTTCTTTGGAAATCTTCTTCTCTTTTCCTGGATATTATTTAAACAAATTGAATACATAGTTATGAAGAGCAAGAGTGACTCTACCAAAATTGTGAAATTCATAGCCCCAGGGTCAGGGGTTCTGGTGCTAAGGCAGGGCTATATAGATCATATAATGAAAGTGCATTATTTCTTTGGAAATCTTCTTCTCTACTCCTGGGTATTATTTAAACAAATTAGATACATAGTTATAATGAGCAAGAGTGACTCTACCAAAATTGTGAAATTCATAGCCCCAGGGTCAAGGGTTCTGGTGCTAGGATGGGGCTATATAGATCATATAGTAAAAGTGCATTATTTCTTTCAAAATCTTCTTCTCTACTCCTGGGTATTATTTAAACAAATAAAATACATAGTTATGATAAGCAAGGATGCCTCTTCCAAAATTGTGAATTTCATGGCCCCTGGATCAGGGTTTCTTATATTAGGGCGGGGCTCTATTGATTATAGTGAAAATGCATTAATGCTTTAAAAATCTTCTTCTCTGCTCCTGGGTATTATTTAAACAAACTAAGTACATTGTTATGATAAGCAAGGATGCCTCTTCCAAAATTGTGAAATTCATGACCCCAGGGACAGGGGTTCTGGTGCTAGGGTGGGGCTATATAGATCCTATAGTGAAGGTGAATTATTTCTTTGAAAATCTTCTTCTCTGCCCCTGGGTACTATTTAAACAAACTAAGTACATTGTTATGATATGCAAGGATGCCTCTTCCAAAATTGTGAATTTCATGATCCCAGGGTCAAGGGTTCTGGTGAAAAGTGGAGGGGGGGGGGGGGGGGCTCTATTGATTATATAGTGAAAAAGCAAAATTTCTTTGAAAATCTTCTTTTCTGCTTCTGGTGAAAAAGCAAAGAAGCTAAGTATATAGTTATGATGAGCAAGAGTGCTTCTTCCAGAGTAGTGAATTGCATGACCCCTGGGTCAGATGTGCTGGTGTAAGGGTGGGGCTCTTGATAATGTAGTGAAAATGCATTAATTCTATTAAATACTCCTGTCTGCTTCTTAGTGTTAAGCAGATAAACAAAGTGATTACTTACGATGAGAAAACTTCTGGTCCCAGGGTGAGAGGCTCTGGTGTTTCTCGGGGGGGGGGGGCTCTGTTGATAATATAGTGAAACTGTAGTAAAAATGCATTATTTCTTTAAAAATGTTCTCTGCACTTGGGCATATCAGGGGCAAAAAGAATAAAAGTTTTAATAAGGAAGAGTATTTTAACCAGATTTTTGAACATCTGGACCATTTGGTCAAGTGTTCTGGTCCTGGCCAGGGCTCTATTAATTTGTATTCTACTGAGAGGAGTTATTCCCCTTTGCCTTTTACTTTTGATAAATAATCACTGTAAATAATGTACTTGAAAGGTTAATAGAATAAGAGAATTATGCAAGAATTTTTATTGTATATTACAAAAAGTATTTTCATAGTTTTAATGATCAGGTAGACTTGTAAGTAATAGATAAATAAAAGTTAGACAAAAATAACTTGTCTTATTAAATGTTCATCAAAGACCAAGAGAGGCCAATGTAAAAGATTTCAACATATAATTAAAATAGTACAGAAACACTGATTAGCTTGTTAATATACTGTATGGTGATAGTGATAAATGGGGCACAGATTAGAACCTAATTTATCAACTGTTAATGAATACTAGACTGATTATTTTGTTGATCCTGATCACCTTATTTTTCTTGCTTTTGGGCAACAAAGCTTCACCTTTCAGTTCATTTTATACTCTATTCATCCTCTAAATTGTTGTATTATACTCAGGTGACCATTAAGGCCCTTGGGCCTCTTGTTTTTTTTTTTGTTTTTTTTTGCATCCATGAAATTGTATATTTGTAGTGAAATTTGCTTAAAGGGGCATAGACACACTTGCATTGTTGTTTTCTTTACAATTCTGAATTTCTCAATCTTAAAATTATCTTCATTATTGTGCACAAAACATGTGTATTTGTAAACATGAATTTTTGTAATGGTACATGTGATATTCTTCAGTGAGAGAGTCCATGTATTTCCCAATGTATGTTCAAATGTCATACATATATGTTTTATTACAGTCCTATGATTGGTGAGTTACAAGATTATTTTTTGTTTCAGTTTAAAAAAAGGAAAAAGCTAACTGTCAGAAGAAGAATACAACATGCCTTCCAGAAGCCAGTAGAGAAAGAGTTACCTCTATGGAAGAAAATCTACCTGTTGTGGAGTGCTCCCATTACCACATTTTGGGTAACTCAGGTAAATTTTCAACTTTTTGTATGACAACTACTGAAAATGATTTTACTTGTTTCTTTTTTTTTTTTTAGGTTTTTTTTTTTTTGGAGGGGGGGGGGGGGAATTGCCTTTTGATCTGAAAATAAACTTCAGTCATGTCGAGGAAAGGAAAAAATTCTTATTGTGACTAGTTTTTACTTCTCTCTGCAGACAATGTACTTTGCCTTCCTTGGTCTGTTTTGTGTGGCTGTGTTGTGGCCAACCTGTGGGAACTTTTACCTGGACTTGACATTGTGGTTGTGGACATCCATTATACTGATAGACTTAGTTCAACGGACCTACAGAAAACATATAGTATGTCAGAAAAACCTCTGGGTTTTTATCTCACCTAAGCTGAAAGCTCAAATGAGCTTTTCTGATCACATTTTGTCTGTCCATACATCTATAAACTTGTCACATTTTTAACTTCTTCAGAACCATAGGGCCAATTTCAACCAAACTTACCACAAAGAATCCTTGGATTGGAGGTGATTCATGTTTGTTCAAGTGAAGAGCCACACCCTCTTTCAAGGGGAAATAATTAAGAATTTGAAAATTTGGTGGTATCTTTTAAAAATCTTTTTCTCAAGAACCACTGTGCAAAATAAGCTGAAACTTATATGAAGCTTTCTTTACATAGTGCAGATTCAAATTTGTACAAATCATGACCCCAGAGAGTAGGGTTGGGCCACAATGGGGGATCAAAGGAAAATATAGGGGAAAAAATTAAAAATCTTCTTATCAAGAATAACTAAGCTTTGATTAGTCATTGGTATGGAAGCATCCTCAGATAATGTAGACTCAACTTACTTAAATCAAGACCCCATTGGGTAGGGTGGGGCCACAATGGGGGATCAAAGATTAACAAAGGAAAAACCTTTAAAAATCTTCTTCTCAAGAACAACAAAGCTTGATTAGTCATATTGATACAGAAGCATCCTCAGGAAGTGTAGGTAGATTCAAATTTGTTCCAAGCATGAACATGGAACCAACAAAGTAAAGCAGGTCACAATGACCCCTTAGATAGATATGCACCATTTAGTTGTACACAGAGTATGGTGTATTCTGACAGTGCACTTTATTGTACTGTCATATAGGCAACAATTTTTTTTCTAAAGACACTTGTGTATTTTTTTAAGAGTATTGTTTGATATTTTATTGTTCCTTTTGTAGAAACACAAAGCAGTGCCTCTGCTGAAACCTTGCTGTGAGATATTTCTAATCATGGTATTCCTTGTTCTGTATCTGGTTCTGAGAATTATTCCTCACTGGTTTAATTACACTGATATCATCACCAGCAAAGTTGTCTTGAGCATAGGTCTTATCTTCTTCTTCTATCGTTTGCTGGGGATTTACCTCCCCATATCTACAACTCTAGGACCAATGCTTGTCAGAATGAATCGAATGGTACGTAATGACAAATCTTTCTCTTTTTTAATACAGTAAAGTAATATGGTCTGTAATTAAGATATTTTAGACAATTTGATTTAATTAAATTGTAAAAAATGTTTTTTGTAATACAATAAAGTGATTTGGGCTATAATTAAGATATTTGGGACACAGTGATTTAATTAAATTGTAGAAAATGTTGATGTATGGTATGTTTGATAAAGATGACTTTCTTGTTAAGTAAATTCTTAATAGATTTAACATACATGACATGAGCATATTGGTGAGGCCTAAAAATAATCTCGAGTTTCTATGGCCTGAGAAACTGAATATACTGTAGATTCCTAAATATACGCGAAGAATTAATTATCGCGAAATTATGCGAGAAGCACCACTCGCGAAATAAAATAACTCGCTTTTATTTTTATGGTACTTTAATGTATGTAAAATCTCTAGATAAATCACCCATTCATGAATTATTGTTCTGAGTCGCGATTTGACGCCCTAGGGCCATTTCGCGATATTAAGTACTTGCGTAAAATAAGGAATCTACAGTTATCTTCACCACAGTAAGTTATAACAAGAATGGGATCAATGTTTTCATACATCATTGACATACCGTAAACTTGCTTATAAGTTGGTTTTTAGGAGTTAAATTTTGGTCCAAAACTCTATGTCCAACATACAGGCGAAAAAGATTGGGGGTTTTTTCTGGATGGCGAAATGACAGCTCCAATGATTATCATTGACAGATGTCTGGACATATTATTTTGTATACGTATTTAGGTATTCTACCATGATGCACACAAGTACGTTTTTACATATTTTTTTAGCTGTATTTTTTTTAATTGTGTTTTATTTATTAATTATTCACAAACCTAATTCTTTCAATAAATTGCGATTTTCTATGAATCTATCATTTATAGGTAAAATTGAATTGCAAACCCATATTTGCAATTGCAACGTATTTGTATGTGGTACTGTCTTAAATATTTTTGATAAAAGATATGATATTAATTTGTTTAAAAAATAATTCAGAATAAAATTCTTGACTCTATATAAACTTCATTGAGAATGAAATTAATTGTTTCCCATGTCTTAGTTGTCACCACTAGCTAGACACAATGCATACATGTGATATGTACCGGCGGTACGCAAAATGTACAGTTTTTCGAGCCCAATCATCGTGTACCGGCGGGACACCAAAATTCACGGAATATTAAAATTTGTACAGTATTTTGAATTTCTCGCTAAATGCCGCCATTTTCTTCTCATTCTCGCTCGCGAGACACTGGAAAACGTCACCTGTGTTTGACACTTGACCTTCTGATAATTGTGTAGTGTACACAAACCATCGCGTGCGAAGGAGTGAACTGCCAATTGGGATAATTATCTTGCTATATGTCACAGCCTTTTAAATGTGGTAAAATACAACACAATAGGGCTGCTGGGTTCGATGTTTATATATAATATATATTCTACGATTATGGAATTTTATAACATAGAAGGAAGAGTGACCGTAATTCCTAGTCTGAAGTTCACAATTATCATGAGATAAAGTTGTGTTGGGGAGCATGGGGAGAGAGAGCGTCTTCTCTCCCCAAAGTCTTAGGTTGGAGTCTCGAGAATTAGTATTGGCGCGAATGCGCAGGGGACAGAATAAAACCAGTTTGACCACTCACACACCCGTACTCTCACTGACCACTCACCCGTATAAATGAATGAATGAATGAAAAAGGCAATGAATGAACGTAGTAAATTCCGTAGTGAGAACGGAATTCACTAGTTACTATAATGATATAATGCCTTAGATAAATGTATGAATATGATATGAATGATAATTAGTAATATTAATTGATTAATTATAATTCACCCTGTGACACTATACATGAATCTGACCCAGATCTTCGTAGGTATAAAATATACGACGTTTATTACCATGATTACGCTGAAATTTCAGAAGAATTTAAGCGATATTTTATACCGGTTTTGTACCATTTTTTGATAGGCAGTGTACAGTTTTTTCACCCAAATTCCAGTTTTTTTATGGCTCCTGTACAGTTTTGTGGTCTTTGACTTATCACATGTATGACAATGTCAAGTAAGCAATAAAGGCAAGAGACAGTATGACTAAAAACTTATTATGATAATTGCCAACGAAATCAAGAGTGGCATTTATAATCAGAAATAACAGACAACATGGCTTGGACAAAAATGTTATTTGAAACTTGGGTTTAAAACTTGAGCATTTACTTGAAATTGTCAACTGATTCTGGCAAAAAATTGTACCGACTTATAAGTGGGTCAGTGGCAAATCCTTCCGATATAAGCTTAAAAAATACAACCGACTTAAAGTCAGACCTACTTCTAGGCAAGTATATCCAGTATATTGCTTGATAATCATTTAATACACATTTGAAAGTATTGTTGTTTTACAAATGAAATATGACAGGGATTATGTTTCAGATCAAGTATGATTTTGTGGACTTTATTCGAATGTTCCTGGTATTTATGATCTCTGGTGGAGTAACTATACAAGCTATACTATACCCCAATTATCCACTGGGGATAGATCTGATCAAAAGAGTCTTAACACGCCCACTTTTCGCTATGTTCCTTACACAGATTGCAGATCTAGATGGTAAGTCTAGAAATTTATCATTTACAGACAGATACAATATTTATTTTATACTTAAATGTGTATTCCAACTATGAATGTTTTCTTCTGGTGATTATTTATTTGTATGAATGTAATCTTTTTGCTGCAGGAGATGTAAGCTGTTCACATCACTATAAAAATGTGTCGGAAGGTTTTTGCACAGCAGGTAATTTTTTTAAATTTTGAGTTTCATGCATGTAAAGTTTATAAACAGCAGTTAGTTACTTTGATTTTTATGGAAAATAAGCTCACCCAAACAAAAGGCTCATTATACCCCCTGCTTGAAAAGTGATGGGAGTGTCAGTCTTTCTATATAGCTGTCTGTCACAAAAACTTTAACCTTGGTCATAACTGTTGAATGAGAATAAATAGGGCTTTCATATTCACATGTACATTACCTGTGACAAGACCTTTCCAAATATACTATGGTTTTTGACCCCTTGACCTTGAAGTTTGATCTATTTTTCTCAAAAATTTTATCATTAAATTGGTCATAAATTTTTAATGAGAAAAGATAGAACTTTCATGTTACATAAGTGCATTACCTATGACAAGAACTTTCCAAATAAGCAAATTCAAAGAGTAATGTTGTGGTTTACCGCTTTCAGTGTCTTAGTGATTGGGATGCAATTATTTATGGCATATTGTAACTGCCTTGTTTGTGTGTCCTTCAAAGTTCTAGATCAAGGTTGTAAATTCAAAAATGAGATACCTTTCTGAAAGTGTTGTCATAAGTAATATACATGTGAAATAGGAAAGCCCTATCTTCTCTCATTTGAAAGTTATTACCAATATAAAAAAAATTATAAAGACTGTAGGTTAAACTTATAGGTCAAGGTCATGAGGTCAAAAACCAGAGTACATTTGTTAAGGTCTCAAACCGGTTATGCACATGTCAAATATATATGCCCTATCTTCTCTCATTCAAAAGTTATCAGCTATATTAAAATTTTTAAAAATTAGGTCAAACATCAAGGTCATGGGGTTAAAAATCAAAGTACATTTGGAAAGGTCTTCTTGTCACAGTAATGCACATGTCAAATATATATGCCCTATCTTCTCTCCTTCAAAAGTTATCAACAATGATAATTTTTTTAATTTTAGGTCAAACTTGAAGGTCAAGGTTAGGGGTCAAATATCAGAGCACATTCTGAAACTTCTTGTTGCAGGTAATGCACTTGTCAAATATAAATGACCTTGGTCTTGAAATATGATGTAGGTATAAAACTTAAAAAATGAGTTTTAAATCTTAAAAAAAAAGCATAAACAAAGGACCACAGTTAATCATTTTAAACTGCAAGCATCACCTTGATAAATTTATTGAAGCAAGGGCCTAATTTATAATTGATCATCGATTGGAAGGGCTGGAATTTTAGATAATCAATTTGAGATTTTACGATCAATTATAATCTGTATAATAGAGCACTTAATTACCTTGTATTGTTTTCTCACTTTTATTTCAAGAAAAAGCTTTTGTTGTCAATATATATCTTCCATATAAATCTTCCAAGTGTTGTCATTTTCAATTTTAACATACTAAAATCGGGTTCAATATGAAAAGCTGGTTTTCTTACAGATACGTACAAATACGCTTGAATTTCTAAAAACAGATTATAAGATTGTAATGATATTTGAACTAACTGCTTGTATTATAAAATTTGGTTATCAGTGTTTGGGGAAAAAAGATCACTTTTCATTACGTACGGAATCACATGGATTTGCAATATTAACTGTCTAATAAACAGTTAAAAATGTAATTCCATATTTTAGGTGATCATGTTGATCAAAACTCTTTCAACACAAAAACACCAGGTCAAATATCTTAATCATCCAAAAATTTGTATTACTGAAATTGATAATCAAACCACATACTGTCAGCGCTCGACATTAACGCTTGTCCGCTTGTCCGGTACCAGTGAAAAAAAAATACGGACAAGTGAATATTGCTGGGCACTTGTCCGATTGGACAAGTGCATTTTTATGTAAAGAAGTCTCTAAATATTTAAAAGATCGACTGTTGAAAGTTTGCCGGTACTTTAAGACGGAAACAGTACATAAAAAACGAACTTTGATCCCGATATAGATCGCTATGTAATTGAGTACACTCGATTGGGATCGAAGTTCACTAATTGCAAACTACTGCAAAGGCATGGAACTGACGAAGTTTTATGTTGACAGCATTGATGTTGTCAGGACAGAAAGTCTAGATAAAATTTTGTTTTATGTGTTTGTTGTATTTGTTAATAACATCATGCAAATGTAATGGACTTTATTTTTAGTTTTTCAGTTAACAGTATTAGAACTTTATTGAAAAATTTTCGGACAAGTGAAGTTGAAGTTCGGACAAGTAAATGTCTGTTCACTTTTCCGAATGGACAAGTAGGGAAAAAAGTTAATGTGGAGCCCTGACTGTAATTAGAATTTTAATCTGTATAATACACTTCTACTTGCATTATCATGAAATTATTAGGCTTCTATAATTTATATAAAATTTAGTGCCTATTTTATACAAACAGTTACCGATTTGATTATTGGCCAATCATCAGTTGATTAGAGTCAACCAATGCTGCTGATTAATCGATTCTGATTTTCAACCAATTTGACAACACTATGGTATATACACTTCTGCAAGACAACAGGGCTAAAATTTGCAAACATAACCTAAGTCTCATTATACATGTACTGTTGATTAAAATTACTGCAGTCATGGTATTTGAGTTGGTGGCAGGTTTTATTTATCTACACATTTCTTTATAAGTAATGATTCAGGTGAGCAATTTGGCCCATGGGCCTCGTGATATGTTTTGATCTCATTGAAATACTAGTCCTTTTGATAAACATATTGAAACAGACTCAGAACCTGCAAAGGAGATTCCCTGCATCTTTGTAGGACATTCATAAATCTGATTCAGAGGAATCCAATTACAGTCAGTTTCTACAGTAAATACTTCAGTATCCTATTAGTTTAGTGCATACAGCAAAAGCAAGTATAAAATAACTTTATGCTAGTCTGTAAGCTAAAAATAAATGTTTCTTTTATTTGTTTCAGATGTAAATTTCAGAGGATCCCATTATGCTAATCCAGGTAATGCAAGAACTTTATACCCATAAAAGAGATATAAAGAAAATATATCTATACTGGAACTTAAAAACTATAAACAGGTAAACTTCAGTATCTCAACATCTGCAGGACAATCAGAAAATATCGAGATATCAGGGGTGTTGAGATATATCAAGGTTGAGACTTGACGTCCAAGATTTCACCGCATTGCAAAACAAAGACTAGTTATTTATGTACATGAATTAAATCGTTGGTATACCTCTAATTTCAGGAAATCATTTATTTGTTTATCACAAAATCCAAGAAGTTATGTATATAAAATCTAAGAAGTTATCCCCCCCCCCCCCCCCCCAAAAAATATCTTATTTGATTTCTCTCCATATTGAAAATTTTCTAAATTTGCTGAGCATTTTCCATCCGACTTTGTGTGCTTTTTGTCAGAATATAATATAAAATGTGCTGCATAAACTTTGAACCATACAAAGTTGGCACCAAAAGATACAAAATAAATAAATGCATATTTTTTTCTTATTTTATTTGAGAAAAAATCTGACATTAAAGAACAATTTCAAAGATTTTGTGTACTTGAACCAACAAAATCATGATACATATGCATGAATCACAGCTGATTCAATTAATCGTGTTGTTCTATGGATTGTTAGCTGTTTAATGTATTTGCCATAAAATATCATTAATCGTTTAATTTCTCACATGATATATAAGAATTAATTAAAAATGATTTCAATGTGTTTATTATTCATGTGATTTAGTAGCCTTTTTCAAATTAAATTTATGATAGATTTCAGTATAAATAAACGTCATTTACACAGAATCACGGATTTATCAATGATTTTACCCAAGCTTTTAAGAAATAACATTCATAGACGACTAATGATGCTTGGGATTCACTAACAAACAAAGTCGATAGAATAAATCAGTAGTGTGCAGTCAAAACAGAGGTTTGAACGGTGTGAATTTTCTGTGATGCTGAGGTACACTGAATCGTTCATGTGTGACGAGCGATCATTCGACAAACAGGTTTAGTAGAGCAGAAAATTGCTCAATGCCGACATATACAAGGTAAACTTTGCTATTTGGACCTTGAATATATGTTGAGATAAGCAGGGTTACAATATTTCCCAAGTTTTTGCAAATCATTTATATAGAAAATACTGCCGGACCACGGACATCAACATATCCCAAGTTGTTGATGTATCCAATGTTGAGATACTGAAGTTTACCTGTAGCTTTTACGGATGAAGAAAAGGACTGTATCGAAAGTAGTTTTCACAGGAGTGTCAGATAATGCTTTGCTTTGTTCTTGAGTCTTATTTGCCATATGTATTAGTTGAAGTATAAGATGTAAAGTAAATTGTAAAATAGATGGGCCAGAAGTAATATTTTTGTATGTTTTAATTGCAGAAGCTGTAATAGTTCCCATTCAGAAATGCCCATATTCCAGTTTGTTTGGTTACCTTATTACTATACAGTATCTGCTGATCTGTAAACTGGTTCTTGTCACACTGCTGTTTGCCATGTTTGCGTAAGTTAATTGTTGGGGCTGTAAGGATATCAGTAGGGCCACTAGCCTCTGTAAAATTAGGGCAAGGGAGTAAGAATTTAAGGGAGCAACAATTAGAGATTATCATCATTCACACTTTATTGTTTCCCTCTAGGGTAGAGAGAGGGTAGAGAGAGCATATACTGTAAGACTCATAGAGCATGTGGCCCTGTTAGTACACTAGAGGGCTCATATAACATGTGGCCCTGTTAGTACACTAGAGGGCTCTTATAACGTGTGGCCCTGTTAGTACACTAGAGGGCTCTTATAACGTGTGGCCCTGTTAGTACAATAGAGGGCTCTTATAACGTGTGGCCCTGTTAGTACACTAGAGGGCTCTTATAACGTGTGGCCCTGTTAGTACACTAGAGGGCTCATATAACGTGTGGCCCTGTTATTACACTAGAGGGCTCATATAACGTGTGGCCCTGTTAGTACCCTGTTAGTACACTAGAGGGCTCATATAACGTGTGGCCCTGTTAGTACACTAGAGGGCTCATATAACGTGTGGCCCTGTTAGTACACTAGAGGGCTCATATAACATGTGGCCCTGTAAGTACACTAGAGGGCTCATATAACATGTGGCCCTCTTAGTACACTAGAGGGCTCATATAACATGTGGCCCTCTTAGTACACCAAAGATTTCATAGAGCATGTGGCCTTTTTAGTACACTAAAGGATTTATAGAGCATGTAGCCCTGTTAGTACACTGTAGGATTCATAGAGCATGTGCTCCTATTAGTACACTAGAAGGCTCGTAGTAATAGAGCATTTGCCCCTGTTAGTACACTAGGACTTGTAGAGGATATGCCCCTGTCAGTACACTTTTGAGCTCCCTATTAGTACAATAATGGGTCTAAAGAGCATGTGGTCCTATCAGTACTCTAATGGACTCATAGAGCATGTGCCCCTCTTAGTACACTAAAGGACTAGTAGAGCATGTGGTTTGTTCCCGTTTTGCACACATTTGAATTTCAGGTATTGAAAAAATGTGTGCAAAACGGGAATTTGTCCAGGTAAGATAATTACTTAATTGCTATAGTCTATATCATAGTTGTGAATTTGGAGAAAGAGAATCTACAGAAAGAATAAGATTCCGAAGAAAAATGATTAAATTTTGCATATGATATTTTGATTTATTAAGAAAAAAAACTATATTAAAACATTAAAAACATCAAAGTATAAAAAAATTATTAGTCAAAACTAAAATTATATTCATATGATTCTCTCTCTCTCTCTCTCTCTCTCTCTCTCTCTCTCTCTCTCTCTCGCTCTCTCTCTCTCTATTATAATCAAGATTGAATTCATGTACTCATTCATTTTATCTTTATGAAATAATAATAATAATTAAAAAGAACAGGTGGAACTGTGATACACATGTAAGGATATTTGTCGAAACTATCAACTTCATTTGGGTTGGACAAGTTAAATTTTCAAAATTTATTCTTTTAAATGTATGTTATAATGCATTGGTAAAATACAGGTAATTCCAGGTAAATCCCAAACGGAGATCAGACTATAATTGCTATCAAAACATATTTCACCCCTATTGTTCTATACCTAATTATCAAATGTGTGCAAAACGGGAACACACCGAGCATGTGCCCCTTTTAGTACACTAGAGGGCGCATAGAGCATATGGCCTAATAAGAACACAGTAGGGCTTATAGAGCATGTGGCCCTATTTGTACATTGTAGGGCTCAAATTTGCTAGCTATTGATTTGCATATTAAATCTAACTTAGGGTTTGGCATGTTTAATTGAAACCTGGATGTCATTCAGTAAGCAAAAATAATTGAAACTCGATTTTTTTTTTTTTAAACCATAGTTTGATATTCTTGCAATTAGAACACAAGACGGTAGAGAACAAGGATGCAGACTGTCCACCAGTATGAGTTACTGACATATACAAAAATTAAGCAACTTTGAATAGAAATTATCAATTCAAAACAAACTTCAGTAGAGATTTCTAAGCAACCTTGAATAAGGATTATCAATTCAAAACAAACTTTTGTAAAGATTTCTGTATCTTGCAAAACAATTGTTTCCGAGCATTTCGTACCATAAAATAGTCATCCATTCATTCATTCATTCATTTATTCTCTCAAAAACCATATGAATGGTACAAGAGGTACATATATATACATATTTACAATAATTATGGACAAGAAAGATTACAGGAGGACAGACTGTGTCAAAAATTTTGGTGATAAATATACACAATTTTCTTAAGAATGATGGATCAGTATTTGTCATTAAATTACAGACTGAAGTGCTTGAAAGTTAAGTTATTTCTTAATCACAATCCTTCAAAACAGCACTCCAAAAATTTGACACTCTCCATGTTTTAAATGTATAGTAATATCAGAAAACTTCAGCATATTTTGTCAGCACATAAAAATTCATTCTAGTGCAAAAAATGCAAGAAAATCATGTCATATTATTATGTGAACTTATTGGGATTAAGTGTCTTGTAACCTAGTATGTTTCTCTGTTCTAATGGCAGGGAAGGGCATAGCATAGAAATATTATGTATTCATAAGTCATCTGAATTATTTAGCAACTTTTTCCTTAAAAATCAGTTTACGTTTTTAGTAGGGATGTCACCTAGTTAACTGGGTACTCAATCGAACGTCTGAGTATCAAATGCTAAAATCAGTACTCTGTTACTCAGATGTATATTTTTTTTCATATTTCATAGTGCATATATTTATTAAAAACTTATCAAAAATGTGATTTAAATATGTATTGTCCATGTCAAAACAATAAGTAGTGACACCTACACCAGTTAAAACCAGTTATCGCCTGTGGCCTACAGTAATTACTGTGACCAATCATTGGACACCGTACGAAGCTATTCTCACCTCTTGTGACCCTAATTTTTGTATGGCTTTAATTATTTTTTTTAATGAACATTGTTCAGTTATGATCTATTAATTATCCTTAGATTATTTAATTAGCATACGGTAGCAAAACCAAACATACATAGAAATACCGCTACCAATTCAAAAGTGAAGAAATATTTAAGAATAACTTAAGATTAAAAAAATGTTAAAAGTCAGCTGTGCATAGTAAATTTAGCGTATACAGGGGGAATCAACTATATATTTAAGGAATCACTGTCCAGTTTGTTGGGTATTCCAAGGCATCAATACGGGCAGTTGGAAACCTGGGATTATTTATGCAAAACAGATGAAGTTGTAAATATCGAGAAATCAACATACTTAACTTTCAGAGTTAAGAGAAAACATTTGGGAATGTAAATAATATATGAATCCCGATCATGACAACGTCCATTCCCAAAGATATTCTCTTTCGCTAGTCTTATCATTTAAACAATAAAATGCTGTCTTTGGTTGTTAGTACGGGAATTAATGTTGCAGCTGTTGCGGAAAAATGTCTTTCGTTTGATACATAAATTTAGTACAAAAACATTTTTGTTGGGCTCTATGTATATTCATGTTTATAATGCATTATAAACGAAAGAAAATATCGATGGGGTAAACAGGTCTCAATAAAATCAACAAACTTTTACATGCATACACACTTTTTCCGAGTACCCTTTCCGAGTACCCTGGTACTTGATCAAAAAATTGTTCGAGTAATAGAGTATCAGATAATGACCGATTTGACATCCCAAATTTTTAGTGTGTAATAATTTTAAAATGCAAAGAAACTCTTACCTCCAATGAATTGTTTAAGTCATATTTAATTTTAGCTAATAATGCCAAAATTCAATCCTCACTAAAAACTCTGCTTATGCAGTATTTTCCATGTTGTATTAGCATTACTCAATATTTTAAATATGTGATGTTGCTGCACTTGGATCAGTCTTAGAAAAATACTTCAACATCATGTTGACGTCACTGACATTTTGATAAACAGTAAACAGAAGTCAAAATATGAAATTCAGTATGTTGTAATCATTACCAAGGATTTTCCCTATTTCAGAAACAACGACATTTACATTACATAGCTGTTTATCATTTCATGTTCCATTCATAATTTAAGAATGCTTAAATTTTTTGATATTTGATAAAACATCATAACTTCTATAAAGCAAATTTTTACAATGAAGTATCCATCTTTCCACCAGAGGTGATGATCAGATAGCAGGTAAAAGTGGCTAGTGTTTGGAACAAAATACTTATCATCTACCAGGCAGCTTCACAATTTTGTCCTTCATTTTCACTTAGCATATGATAATACAGTTAAACACGGCTATAGTACATGTACTTATATATGAATTCATAATTATAATCATAATGCTTACAGCAAAATTATTTTCATTCCCTTTAGATTTAAAACTGCTTGAACTTAATGGCTGTAATGAATTATGTTTACAACAAATCAAAATTGTTTTTCCCTGGCACTACAACTGTGTTTTACTGTAGCTTGAAATCACCTACTTACCAAATATTGAAGGTTACAGGTCCCATGGTACCAAAGAAAATAACCAGTATTCTGTGCATGTTTCCTAAACATTTGTTTTTATTAACAGATGTCATAATATTGTTAATATTTTGTTTATGATTGTAATCAGAGACAAACTATAGGTGCTTCAGTATTGTTTTTTATACCAGTAATTTTGTATATATGCATTATGAAGAATTTTCACAAAGCACAAGAAAGATCGAATTTTAGTTCTTTGAACAGATATTATTTTATTATTTACCATATCCATTAATGTCTTCAGAAGCAAATGAGCCTTATCTTTGATTTGTGACACATTTACTCTGAATTTTAATTGAAGAAATGTTTCATCCTTTTCTTCTTGCTACAGGCTAACCATCACCAAAGTTGATAATGAGGCCAGTGAGATATGGAAGTTTCAGAGGTATGCCCTGATTGTTGACTTTGAGGAGCGACTTAATCTTCCCCCTCCTTTAGTCATCATTAGTTACATCTGTATACTTGTAAAGAAGATCTACAACAAAATAATGGGCTGTAAAAGAAACTGTAGCAATATCTGCTGTTGTAGAAAGAAAACCAAGGTATGTCTCGATCCTCAAGAAAAGCAGTGATATTGTAAAACTGTAGAATTTAGTGAATGTTGTTCATTTTTTGCCAATTTTATGATTAGTTAAAAATTCAAAGAAATTTTTACAAAAAATTTATGATAGACTACATTTTTAACTCATAAAAGTGGTGGAATTTTTTTTTTCCAAAAACATTCTTAAACTTGTCAGTAGATGAAACTTTGTTTGATAAAAGTTAAGGGTTCCCCAGGCAAGTTCACTCTGTGGTGAAGATTCAAGTTGTTCAAGTTATACCTCAGGAGGCCATGATGGAGATGCAATAAGGGATCAAAGATTTACATAAAAATAAATGTGGAGGATAAATTTTTACACAAGAATTTATAGGAATTGATTTTTTTTTTTTAATTTTGAGACGAGCAGGGCCAAGGTAACATAGAAGGTGATCATGACCCATAGGCCTTTTGTTTACATTATGTTTCAGGAGACATTAATTAATTTTTTTCCATCATATTACATTAAAACTTAATTAATACGAATGAATATGCATATAGCAAAATTACGAATGATATACATGTAGCAAAGTTTTTGGGATCCCCAGCAAATTTTTTAACAATTCCTTGTAAAATTTTAATTTTATTCTCTATTTTCTTTTCCCCTTATTTCTTTGCAGATTTTTCGATTACTTTCGGTTAAAAAAAATCTCCCAAATTTTGTTTATTTTTAATCTAAAATACATTTGATTTTAGTTTATTATTTTACTACTTTTTTCTAATAGAAGAATGTATTTCACATTTAAAAATCAGAATGTAAAGTTTTTTATTTAAAATTTATTTTTCTGTTTAGTGTACACCAGCAAGCAATACAGTAAGTGAAGGAAAAATAAATGTAATAATGTATAAATTGTAAATTTTTAACTGTAAAAAATGTGATTTTGTAATGTATTTACATATACAAAGTGACCTTTGGTATCTCAACATTGGATATATGTTGTCCGCATGAAGTGGATAAGTTAACATGTGGTCCTGTAGTATATACTGCAACTAAAACACAGGAATAGTGCCATCAGTAATCTACAGTACATTCCATCCATCTCTATGTAATTTGTCAAGTCCTAAAGAAAAATGTCAACATTGTTATAATTTTTAGGTCTGTTTAAAACAACTCTTAAATAAATGGTCATTCATCAGCAGCATGAGCAAAGATAATACCATGTTCTTGTTCTTGTTGGTAGAGTACATCAAAAAAAAATTTTATTAACCATTTTTCCCAAAGTTTAAAATATTATTGCTGGTTGAATGTTTGCTGACAATGAGTGATACAGGAACAAATTTAACAAAAGCATTGCCTAGTGATGCATTCCTTAAAATAAGAATTATTTAAAGATCATTGCAAAATAATGGAAGTCTTTTGTCCATTCTTAAACTTAAAAACAAAAAATGAAACAAATAAAAAAACTTCTTACATAGGCTGTCATTACTTACAGTTACATGCATGCAGCTGCAAGTTGCACAATTCACACAGAAGCAAGTTATTTGGAAACAAAATGATGATATTGTTTGTAATTGAAGCTTTTAAAATGTCGCTTTCACTTTTAAGAATTATGTTTCATAGCAGATCAAATTCAAGTTGTAATGACACTTTGATATTGTGAGAGATATTATCAAATTATATGATTACTCAATGCTTGCTAACACTCCAAACTTGCTCTTTCAATAATTACATGGAATTCATTTAAGGAATGAATTTAATAGCTACCCAAGTTATACTGTATAACCTGGGTTGGGGCATTTTATGCTTTATAAACTGCAAAGCAGTTTATAAAAAAGCGTAAACTGTTCCAACCCAGGTTATACCAGTATAACTTGGGTAGCTATTAAATTCATTCCTTATAATTTAATTTTCCATCATTAAGTGTAAAAAAGACATTTTTCCATCAAAAATGTCTTCAAATTGTACATATTTTAAATGTAATGTCAAGCGGATTGATACATTTTTGACGCAAGTCATTGTGACGTAGGCAACCCAGGTTATACGAGATATTCTAATTTTTTTTATCCAATCAAAGGACACATTACAACCAAAATTAAATTATTCAAATATATTGTCTGTTCAAAACTATTAATTATAAGTGAATTTTGAAAGCTTCTGATATGAAGAAAGAAATTTTAAAATGATTTTTTTTTTTGTATAATTAATATAATAATTATCATGAGAAATTGCTAAAAAAGACAAATTTTACATTGTAAATGATTATTCAATATAAAAAAAATAATCAAATGTTGAACATGTATTTTGAAATAAAATTTTAGACATTGAGTTTCACCATTTTTAGAAGTCCCACTGATTTTGAGATACCAAGGTTTGAACATTGTTTTTAAGACACAATTCCTATTTTGAGTACAGATTGTTTTTCAATTTCACTGTTGTCTTACCAGTGAATTTAAAACGTCTCTGTGTGTTCTGTGGGTTATAACTCAAATTAAGATATATTTTTTCTTATAAGCTTGTACATATCTGTTTTTCACTATGTAAATCCCTTTTATAAGTGAATCTTTAGCCCTCCTAGAAAAAAATCTAATGGTTTGATACATTGGTAATTGTCTATCTATTTATTGAGCTGTCTGTTCATCTGTCTGTAAACAACTTAGAATGTTACTTTGGACTCCTACACCCATACCAGTATTGTGTATGTTTTCTTTCAATGAAAAGGATGAATGCTTTTGAGAGTAATCTTATATGGAAATGATAAGGAGAAGCAGATTTGAGACTTTGAAATAGTTATTTCCTTCAGTGGATTGGGGTGTTGCCCCTGTAAACCCATGAAGGGGCTTAAGACAACCTTTAGCCTTTTCCAACCAAAATTTATCACTGCATTTAGTTTATCATGCTGTTCTTTCTATATTATTTGATTTTTTTAATTCATTTTTTTTTTATGTTTCACTTAGAGAAAAGGAAATTAGAAATGTTTTAAATTCAAGTGCATCATATTTCATTATTGTATATAGGAATCCAAACCAGTAGAGCTGCAGTATCATCAGCAGGGCTCAGCATTAAGACACGTCTGACCAACTCAGACTTGTAATTATAAAAGTTTCGACCATTTATTTTGCTTCAAGGTAGCTCAACAGGTCATGTTAAAATATCTCCAAGTTAAAATGAGACAAAACAATTTTTTAAGGATTTCTGTTTAAGGAGGCTGGGGGGTCAACAAATTATCCATCAAATATAACTTATTTTTTTTAGATATGATATCTTGAGCTGTTAACTATCATTTGGTAAAGAAACATTTCATACATTTTAGTTTTAAAATTTGATCATTTTTGTATATCTCTATATGGAGCTCTTCTTCTAAAGGAGATCAATATAGTCTGAAAATGGCCATAACCCCCCAGCCCTCTTAATCAATGTGTTAGATGAGGTTTCCCTTTCATTTTTCAATCCCGATAAAAAATGAAAATAATCATGAAAAGATTTGTTTTGGAAAAATACTTGTTTTATTGTATTATTAATAACAGTTTACCTATAATGTGAAATTTATTAACACACCTTATTAGTATAATTTTATTTGATTTTATCGTAAATGCTAACTCTTCCTAGAGTCATCCTTCCTGATAGGTCATTTTATTTGTGACATTTTTGCATGATATATATTTTAATTGAACCAGGTCTGGAACTAAATTAAATTGAAATACAATACATCTAACTTTCTGGTATTTTGCATTAACTCTATAAAAATAAGTTTATTCAATTTTTTTTTTTTTTAATTTTTTTTTTTGCACCTCACAGAAAAATACCAACTTGCTTTATTTGTTTACATTCGTAATTCAAGTATACTTTTTTCATGTTGCTTTTCTAGTAATTTTGTGTCATTCAATAGATCAGGTTTAGTGAAGATCTGGTCAGGTCTAGTTAAATTTTCAGGTAGTAGTCCGACTGGTCTAGTATGGTTTAATGTTGAGCCCTGATCAGAGACATGTAATAGGTGAATGTGAACAACTTCCAGCATTATCATTGTCTTGTGATGTTTTTACCGATTTTGTCTTGCTGTAGATGCATGTTCTTCTGTAGGATGAAAATCTAATGAAATATTTTTTTTTATTTCTGGATAAAAATTGTTGCAATAAGTCTTCTTTCATTGCATTAGTGAGTACTGTTTCAGCTCTCATGAGCCACCAGCTTAATTGAGTTTTTGCGATGGAAGTTTTTTTCTATGTTAGTTGTGTGTATGAATGTATATCTCGAGTAAAAATTGTACATTTTTGTCCTTAGTACCACTTGACCATTTTTAGCTTATTGCAAGTTGCAACAAAGTATTCTTGGTGAAGGGGATTCAAGATTCAAGTGAAAGGGTTAAATGAAGGATGGCACACTTCTCAAAGGAGATGATAAAGAAATAATCTTGGGTGCTGCATCTGACCTATATTCTCTGGATGAGTTACCAGGTTTTAATTTTCAGAGCATTCCAAAGTAAATATAACACCTAACTGAACTGAACTTGCTTGGATGATCCATTTAGGGGTGCACACTACTGGACTGGCTTTAGATGCTGCACCTGACCTACATTTTCCAGATGAGTGACCTCATTAAATTTTGTTTGTGAGCAATCTATTCCCAAGTAACTATAAGCCCAACCTGGATCACTTGAAGATATGATGCATGTATGGTTGCTCTTTATAAGTCATGTTTCAGATGCTGGGTCTGGCTTACATTTTTAGCTCACCTCAACAAAGTTGGGGGAGCTTATGTAATACCCTCGGCGTTGGCATCCCAGGTTAAAGTTTTTGGAGCAGATTTCTTTTCAAGTACTTCTATGCCCTATATTAATCAGAGATGCATGGAGGATGCTTCTAGTGTGCTTCATTGTACCAGTCAAGGTTTCAGATGCTGCAATTTCAGCTAAAGAATGACCAGGTTAATGTTTTTGGAGCAGGTTAAAGTTTTTGGAGCAGGTCTCATTCCCAAGTAACTACCGGTATAAGCCCTACCTGGACCAAACTTGCATTGATGATGCATCTAGGGATGCACACTACCACACTTGCTTCAGATGCTGGATCTGACGTACATTTTCCAGATGAGTGACCAGGCTAAAGTTTTTGGAGCAGATCTCATTTCCAAGTAACTATAAGCCCTATATTGACCAAACTTGCATGGATGATACATCTAAGGATGCACACTACTGGACTTGCTTTGGATGCTGGATCTGACCTACATTTTCCAGATGAGTGACCAGGTTAAAGTTTTTGGAGCAGATCTCATTTCCAAGTAACTAGAAGGCCTATCTGAACCAAACTTGCATGGATGATGCATCAAGGGACAAACACTCTCAAACTTGCTTCAGATGCTGGATTTGACTTACATTTTCTGGATGAGCGACTAGTCTAAAGTTTGTAGATAAGTCCATTCCCAAGTAATTGCAAGCCCTATCAGACCAAAATTGCATAAATGTTGCATCTAGGGATACACACTCCTAGATTATTAGTTTAGTGTGGGACTTTGCCTTACTTAAAGACAACATTTGTGAGGTGAGCTCTGTAATCTCTGATTACCTATGTTTTTAGATGATTGAACAGGTTAAAGTTTTTGGGGCAGGTCCGTTCATAAGTAACTATAAGCTCTACTCTGAGCAGACTTGCTAAATTAACACCACCAGGACTTATGGTATATATGGAAACTGTGTTGTGATGAGGTTTAATTTTTTGGAGCAGTTCCATTATCAAACAACTATAAGCCAAACTTACGTAAATGATGCATCTAGGGATGAACAGCCCTGCTTCAGATGCTACATCTGACCTTTATGTATCAGATGAGTAACCAGCCTAAAGTTTTTGAAGCAGGTTCTTTCTAAGTAATTGTAAGCCCTAGCTAGACCAAACTTGCATGATTCATCTAGAGATAGATACTTACTGCCTTGCTTAAGGTGTTGCAGGTGATGGGTATTTTTAGTTGTTTATTGAAGGGCTTGTAATGATGATCTTACATACTAGTATAATTAATGGTTCTTACAGAACATTTATTTGGTATGAGACTTTGCCTTTTTTCATAGATAAAATTTGTTGAGATGAACTTTGTAATCTTTAATTACCATTCTTTAAGTGATAAGCTTTTAGAAAATAATAAGCTTGTAAACCAGACCAGTTTTTTCAGACTTTAGCAAAGCTATTAGCAGGTCATTTTTATTGCATTTTAATTAAAATATATTAAATTAATGCATGATTTTGAGCCTTATGTATATGAAATAGTCATAGCATAGTTGGACTTTGTAGGCTGATGAAGAGATGAGTCACAAAGTACAGAAGAACCGAAGATCAGAAGACTATAACTACTGGAAGAAATGTTCCATTGAGTTTCTGCGGACCCAAGAACTCAAGGAGAAAAAGGAGAAAATGGCAGCACTACATGCTGAAATGTATGCATTTCTTGGTTGTATGATGAAAATATATTTTTTCCATTATGGTTATATTACATTGTTTCCCCTTTCCTGCAAAAGGATTCCAGTTTTTCTCTTTGACAATTAGTGAGCATTTGACTGGCTCTTGTGACAACATAAGGCCTAAGAAAAAAAAATCTTTACCTTTACCTTACTTTTTTGTGCCAACACAAGTATTTTTATTTGGAACCTATATATCTATCCCAATATAGTTTCTGATCAGGTAGCTAATAGATATCAAATTTTAGTTATCTTAGTCAAAGAATAAGTGACCTTTCATTATGGTAATAAAAATTTGCCCTTCCTGTGTAAACATCAAATATAAAATGTGCATTTTCAAGTGTAAAAGCTCTCACAACTGTGAATCTGAAGTCTAAAGAGTGACAATAAGAAAAGTCTAGAATGGAAAAATTGACATGCATAAATCAGAGTCACCACATATTGATGACAATTAACATTACTCATTGTAATCCTTTATCATTATGTAGAATCACCAACCTACAGGAAGACATGAGATTACAGAAAAAGAACATGAAAAGAATAAGTGACAGAATTGTGGAGCTGGAGAGAACTCTGGGAACCAGCAGGATGTACCTAGAAAATATCTACCACAAACTAGATAAACAAGGTAGGATATACCAAAGAAAATATCTACCACAAACTAGATAAACATGTAGGATATACCAAAATAAATATCTACCACAAACTAGATAAACAAGTTATGATATACCAAAGAAAATATCTACCACAAACTAGATAAACAAGGTAAGATATATCAAAGAAAATAACTACCACAAACTAGATAAACAAGGTAGGATATACCAAAATAAATATCTACCACAAACTAGATAAACAAGGTAGGATATACCAAAATAAATATCTACCACAAACTTGATAAACAAGGTAGGATATACCAAAATAAATATCTACCACAAACTTAATAAACAAGTAAGGATATACCAAAGAAAATATCTACCACAAACTAGGTAAGGTAGGATATACCAAAGAAAATATCTACCACAAACTAGATAAACAAGGTAAGATATATCAAAGAAAAAAACTACCACAAACTAGATAAACAAGGTAGGATATACCAAAATAAAAATCTACCACAAACTAGATAAACAAGGTAGGATATACCAAAATAAATATCTACCACAAACTTGATAAACAAGGTAGGATATACCAAAAAAAATATCTACCACAAACTAAATAAACAAGGTAGGATATACCAAAGAAAATATCTACCACAAACTAGATAAACAAGGTAGGATATATCAAACAAAATTTCTACCACAAACTAGATAAACAAGGTAGGATATAGAAGAAAATATCTACCACAAACTAGATAAACAAGGTAAGATAGAAGAAAATATCTACCACAAACTAGATAAACAAGATAGAATATAAAAGAAAATATCTACCACAAACTAGATAAACAAGGTAGGATATAGAAGAAAATAACTACCACAAACTAGATGAACAAGGTAAGATATATCAAAGAAAATATCTACCACAAACTAGATAAACAAGGTAGGATATATCAAAATAAATATCTACCACAAACTTGATAAACAAGGTAGGATATAGAAGAAAATATCTACCACAAACTAGATACACAAGGTAAGATATATCAAAGAAAAAAACTACCACAAACTAGATAAACAAGGTAGGATATACCAAAATAAATATCTACCACAGACTAGATAAACAAGGTAGGATATAGAAGGAAATATCTACCACAAACTAGATAAACAAGGTAAGATAGAAGAAAATATCTACCACAAACTAGATAAACAAGGTTAGATATATCAAAGAAAATATCTACCACAAACTAGATAAACAAGGTAGGATATAGAAGAAAATGACTACCACAAACTAGATAAACAAGGTAAGATATATCAAAGAAAATATCTACCACAAACTAGATAAACAAGGTAGGATATATCAAAATGAATATCTACCACAAACTTGATAAACAAGGTAGGATATAGAAGAAAATATCTACCACAAACTAGATACAAAAGGTAAGATATATCAAAGAAAAAAACTACCACAAACTAGATAAACAAGGTAGGATATACCAAAATAAATATCTACCACAAACTACATAAACAAGGTAAGATATATCAAAGAAAAAAACTACCATAAACTAGACAAACAAGGTAGGATATACCAAAATAAATATCTACCACAAACTAGATAAACAAGGTAGGATAATACCAAAATAAATATCTACCACAAACTTGATAAATCAAGGTAGGATATACCAAAATAAATATCTACCACAAACTAGATAAACAAGGTAGGATATACCAAAGAAAATATCTACCACAAACTAGATAAACAAGGTAGGATATATCAAAATAAATATCTACCACGAACTTGATAAACAAGGTAGGATATACCAAAATAAATATCTGCCATAAACTAGATAAACAAGGTAGGATATAGAAGAAAATATCTACCACAAACTAGATAAACAAGGTAAGATATATCAAAGGAAAAAACTACCACAAACTAGATAAACAAGGTAGGATATACCAAAATAAATATCTACCACAAACTAGATAAACAAGGTAGGATATACCAAAATAAATATCTACAGCAAACTTGATAAACAAGGTAGGATATACCAAAATAAATATCTACCACAAACTTAATAAACAAGTAAGGATATACCAAAGAAAATATCTACCACAAACTAGATAAACAAGGTAGGATATACCAAAGAAAATATCTACCACAAACTAGATAAACAAGGTAGGATATACCAAACAAAATATCTACCACAAACTTGATAAACAAGGTGAGATATATCGAACAAAATATCTACCATAAACAAGATAAAGAAGGTAGGATATTTCAATGAAAATATCTACCACAATCTAGATAAACAGGATAGGATATACCAAAGAAAATATGTACCCCAAACAAGGGCTGTGTAATGATATCGAAATTCCGGTATTTGCCATTCATTGACAAAAAATATATTGTGATACATT